CACAGCGTGTGTCCCTCACGGGTTGAGAGACACTGGGATCGTTTCGGGTTAGGCCGTAATGAACACAGATGCCGTGAGCGCCCATCACAGAACCTTGGATGGTCAGCGGCTCTGCTCTCTCTTGGGGAAGAAAGACTCGGGAGTGGAAAGGCCAGTGGCGTGGAAGGGGGATGTCTAGCCTTCACGGAAACAATGAAAGTGTTTCCCAAGGTCTCCCGGTCTTACCCCCCAACAGCGAGGGGGTGGGGGCTGAGGGAAGGGGGCGGGGCCCGCTGGCGTCGCTGATTCGTGTCTCCCCTCCCCCACCGCAGGTGATCCGGACAGACACGTTCAAGCACCTGCGGCACCTGGAGATCCTGCAGCTGAGCAAGAACCTGGTGCGCAAGATCGAGGTGGGCGCCTTCAATGGGCTGCCCAGCCTCAACACGCTGGAGCTGTTCGACAACCGGCTCACGACGGTGCCCACGCAGGCCTTCGAGTACCTGTCCAAGCTGCGCGAGCTCTGGCTGCGCAACAACCCCATCGAGAGCATCCCCTCGTACGCCTTCAACCGCGTGCCCTCCCTGCGCCGCCTCGACCTGGGCGAGCTCAAGCGGCTGGAGTACATCTCAGAGGCGGCCTTCGAGGGCCTGGTCAACCTGCGCTACCTCAACCTGGGCATGTGCAACCTCAAGGACATCCCCAACCTGACGGCCCTGGTGCGCCTGGAGGAGCTCGAGCTGTCCGGCAACCGGCTGGACCTGATCCGCCCGGGCTCCTTCCAGGGCCTCACGAGCCTGCGCAAGCTGTGGCTCATGCACGCCCAGGTGGCCACCATCGAGCGCAACGCCTTCGACGACCTCAAGTCGCTGGAGGAGCTCAACCTGTCCCACAACAACCTGATGTCGCTGCCCCACGACCTCTTCACGCCCCTGCACCGCCTGGAGCGCGTCCACCTCAACCATAACCCGTGGCACTGCAACTGCGACGTGCTGTGGCTGAGCTGGTGGCTCAAGGAGACGGTGCCCAGCAACACGACGTGCTGCGCCCGCTGCCACGCGCCCGCCGGCCTCAAGGGCCGCTACATCGGCGAGCTGGACCAGTCGCACTTCACCTGCTACGCGCCCGTCATCGTGGAGCCGCCCACGGACCTCAACGTCACCGAGGGCATGGCCGCCGAGCTCAAGTGTCGCACGGGCACCTCCATGACGTCCGTCAACTGGCTGACGCCCAACGGCACCCTCATGACGCACGGCTCGTACCGCGTGCGCATCTCCGTCCTGCACGACGGCACGCTCAACTTTACCAACGTCACCGTGCAGGACACGGGCCAGTACACGTGCATGGTGACGAACTCGGCCGGCAACACCACGGCCTCGGCCACGCTCAACGTCTCGGCCGTGGACCCCGTGGCGGCCGGCGGCGGCGGCGGCGGCGGCGGCCCGGGAGGCGGCGGGGGCGGCCCGGGAGGCGGCAGCGGCGGGGGCGGGGGCGGCTACACCTACTTCACCACCGTGACCGTGGAGACCCTGGAGACGCAGCCCGGAGAGGAGACCCTGCAGCCGCGGGGGACGGAGAAGGAGCCGCCGGGGCCCACGACGGACGGCGTCTGGGGCGGGGGCCGGCCCGGGGACGCGGCCGGCCCGGCCTCGTCGTCCACCACGGCGCCCGCCCCGCGCTCCTCGCGGCCCACGGAGAAGGCGTTCACGGTGCCCATCACGGACGTGACGGAGAACGCCCTCAAGGACCTGGACGACGTCATGAAGACCACCAAGATCATCATCGGCTGCTTCGTGGCCATCACGTTCATGGCCGCCGTGATGCTCGTGGCCTTCTACAAGCTGCGGAAGCAGCACCAGCTGCACAAGCACCACGGGCCCACGCGCACGGTGGAGATCATCAACGTGGAGGACGAGCTGCCCGCCGCCTCGGCCGTGTCCGTGGCCGCCGCCGCCGCCGTGGCCGGGAGCGGGGGCGTGGGCGGGGACAGCCACCTGGCCCTGCCCGCCCTGGAGCGAGACCACCTGAACCACCACCACTACGTGGCGGCCGCCTTCAAGGCGCACTACAGCAGCAACCCCAGCGGCGGGGGCTGCGGAGGCAAGGGCCCCCCGGGGCTCAACTCCATCCACGAACCTCTGCTCTTCAAGAGCGGCTCCAAGGAGAATGTGCAAGAGACGCAGATCTGAAGCTGCCGCGCGGGGGCGCCCCCGGGGCCCCGGGGCCGGACTGGGACCCTCCCCGCGGCCGCGGCCCCGCCGCCGCTCTCTCGGGACCGCGCAGGGAAGGTCGGGAAGGAGGGTTTGAAGCCCCGCCCGCGCGTGGACCCCAGGGCGGCTCACCCCAGCGAGGACAGGGTGGGCTCCGTCTCCGGATCCTCCGCGGTTCTGGCCTCGCCCCGCCCCCCCCTCCACCCCAGGCGAAGGGAGGGGCTGCAGGATTAGGGGCAAGTGGCCGGAACCCTCCGCTTTTCCGCCTCGCTCTCAACCAACCCTTCCCGGCCCTCAGCCTTCCAGGGGAGAGAGGAGCTTTCCGAGGGGGCGTCCTTTCCCCTCATCCCCAACAACCCTCCTTTTACGGTTCATTTTTTTGCAGTTTGACGCCTGTCCCTTCCCTCTCCCCCTTCGCCCCCTGAAACTGAAAAGAAAGACAGACGCGCGGTCAGAGCCTCCAGACACCGGCCCTGCCCCCCACCTTCGCCCTCCCCCCCCACCTGCCCCACAAGACTCTTTTGATACTGAAGGGAGGTTTGCGTCAATGACTACCTGCTCTGTAATTACTTTAAAAAAAAAACACGGAAAAAGTAAAAAAAAAATATTTTTTTTGGTCATGAAAGCATGGAGGACAGACAAAACAGAGTGAATGGGGGGGGGCGTCATGAGAGGATGGAAAAGTCAGGTGTCAGGGCTCCCCCCCCCCCGAAGGGTGGGGAGAGTCAGCACCTCTGGGTGGTCTCGGGCCCTCTCACCCCTGACCTCGGGAGCCCCAGAGAGGGGCTCGGTCACCCAGCACACCTGGCACTTGTATTTAATCCCCGCATCGCTCAGTCAGGCACGTACTGGGACCTCTCCCCGCCCCTGCTCGCCTCGCTGGGTTCCACAGGCCGCAGCTCTTAGCTCTGGATCCGGGAGTCCGGAGTCAAGGTGTGGGCTGGGCCGCGCTCCCTCCGGGGGCCTGTAGCGGAAGACCCTTCCTTGTCCCCGCCAGCTCCGCGTCACCCCACGTCTCCACACCATCTTCCACGCACGCGCCCGTCTCTGTCCAGACTTCCCCTGTTATAAGGACGCCGGTGCTACAGGGTCAGGGCCCGCCTGCTCCGCGCGACCTCATCTTAACATGCTCATCGGCAAAGACCCTGCTTCCAAATAAGGTCGCATGCGCGAGTCCTGGGGGTCAGGACTCCAACAGATCTTTTGAGAGGACTCGACTCAGCCCTCCACAGAGCCAAGCCTCAGAGAGTGTCTGTTCCCTCTGCAGACCCCACTGTGGGGAGAAAGCGGGTCAGGCTGAAGGGGGAAGGAGTGATGTGCTCCTGCAGCAGCTGGGCCTGGGGGGGGTGCCGGAAGCCCCCCTCTGTCTTGCTCACACCGGGGCAGGAGGGACGGGTAGGCACGGGAGTGGGACGGAGCTGCGCTGTAACTCAGAAGGGCGGGGGCTCAGCCAGAGCCCTGCGAGGGACAGGAGCCCGCAGGTGGGCGTCCCAGGGGTCCCACAGGAGAGTGGGCAGATGCTGCCTCCGTGCTGTCTCGCCAGGCCCAGGCCCAGGCCACTGGCAGCAGAGGGTCCGCGGCAGAGTCTCATATCTCTCCTGCGGGTGGGGGGGGGGGAGGGGGTTGGCTCCAGAAGCAAATTCCTCCCTCAGGGACGTGACGGCCGCCTGCTTCTGCCCTGGCCGTCTGCGGTCTCTCGCCCGTCTGCCTGTGTCTGTCTTTTCCTGCCTGCCGACCTGGGACTCTCTGAGCCCGGCTCCCCCCATGGCTGCCTTTCATGCTCTCTCTCTCCCGTCCTCCTTCAGCGCGATCCTGGTTGCCATGGCAATACTGCAGCGGGTACCAGGTGGTGGCTGGGGGCAGGGAGCCGCGCTGCTGCCGCAGCCTCCGCCATCTCCAGTGCCAGGCACCTGCAGGGTGCAGTGGCTGGGCCTCACTTGAGGGGACCTCGGGGCCTCCCCAGGCCTCACAGGCTTCTTGGCCAATGAGGGGGGTGAGGGGAGGACCGGCGCGCGAGCGAGAATACAAGATGGGAGGGGGCGGGGCTGATGGCATCGTGGCCGGGAGAAGGGTGCGTGAAAGGTGAGAAGTCAAGGTGACCCGAAGGGCAAGCAGACTGGGAGAGGGCTGGTGCAGCGGCTGCAGCTCCTGCGGCCTGGGGCGCGGGGACCCGGCCGGGCCTCCCCGGGAACTTGGGGCAGGGAGGAGATGTGGGCCTGGCCCAGCTGGGGACGGAATGGCTGCCGGCCCAGAGAAGCCGGGGCGGGGCTGGAGGACCCGAGGTCCAGGGACAGGCCCTGAGACAGCGACAGGCGGGAAGGGGAGAGTCAGGGGGGAAAATGTGGAGGAGGGATGTTGACAAGAAACTCGGGGTGCTGAGGCAGGGGGCTGGGGGGAGAGGTCGCAGGCCAAAGATGGGGCCTCGAACTCAGGAGCAAGGGACAGACGGGGAGCCCAGAGTCCTCATCACAGTCTCCTCTCCCTCACTCCCAGCCCTCTCTGCCCCCACCCCAAGCAGGATGCAGTTTCCATGACAACCTGGCCGGCCAGAAAGGGGGGCTGGGGACTGCAGAGGAAATTTTCCACATCAGCAGGAAGGGAGGAGGTAGAATGCAGGAAGGAAGGAGCTGGGTACGGCGGGGAGGGCCGCCCGGGGCCCTGGAACCCCAAGTCCTCATGCCCGCTGCCCCAGGATTCTCACCCGCCCCCACCTAGCGAACCTGCACCCTCTCTGCTGGGCCACTGTGGGGGAGAGGGGAAGGTTCCGGAGAGGATCAAGGGTCAAATGTTCAAAGATCGGCCACTGCCCAGGCCTGGAGAGGAGGGGGCGGTGAGCAGCTGCCGGAGCTCAGACCTCGCGCAGACCACCGGATTCAAGGGCATGGCTTCTGACGGGGTCCCGAGGAGGGTCGGGGTGGTGGGCTACGGCCGCCTTGGTGAGTCACTGACCCTCTGGGCCCCCTTCCCCAGGCCTCTTTCTGAGGCCCCAAAACCCTGTGCCCTCCACAAACACAACTTCACCCATGTCTTTGCACCCCGGCTCTGCCTGAGCACCTTCCGCCGCCTCCCCCCGCGGGGCCCCCCTCCCCCTCTCTTGGTCTCTGTCCTGCCTGTCCCGCCCTTCGGATTCTCTGTCCTCCACCCAAGTTTTTGTGTGCCCCCTGCCTGCCGCCTGCGTCCGTGTACCCCTCCCTCATCTGTGCCATTCCCTCCCTGGGTCTCTATCTCCCTCCCTCTGGTCTCTGTCTCCCTCCCTTTGGTCTTTGTACCCCTCCCTCTGGGCCCCAGGCCCCCTCTCTCTGGTCTCCATCCCACTCTTGCTGAGTCTCCCTTCCTCTCCCCAGGACAGTCCCTTGTTTCTCACCTGCTGACTCAGGGACCAGAACTGGGCCTCGAACTTGTTTTTGTCTGGAATCGTGACCCAGGACGAATGGCAGGGACCGTGCCCCCCTCCCTGCAGCTCCAGAACCTCGGCGCCCTCGGGGAGAGGTCAGTGATCTCACCAGGAGTGGGGCTCCCTGGAGCTCTTGGTCTGGCCTCCCTTAGGTGCTGCGGTCTCAGACGAGTCCCTCACCCTCTCTGGGCCAAACTAGAAAGGGCACAAGCCCATCCATCCTGCTTCCCCTCTCAGACCAGGCCGAAGAGCGAGAGGCCTCCAGAGACCCTGAGGGAATCTGAGGAGGAGAGGTCCAACACCCCTCCCAGGCCCTCCCTCATCTCTCCCCTCTCCCAGGCACCCCGACCTTGTAGTGGAAGTGGCCCATCCCCAAGTAATCCAGGAATCGGGGGCACAGATCCTGCGCTACGCCAATCTCCTGGTGAGCCCCGCCCAGTCGGCCTTGGCCCCACCTCACCCTGGAGTGGGATCCATCCGCTGACCTCAGCCCCTCCCCACCTTCGTCCGCCCCAGGTGGGGTCCCCCTCAGCCCTGGCGGACCAGGCCACAGAGCAGCGGCTCCTGGAGGCCTCGCACCGCTGGGGCCACGCTGTGTTTGTGGCCCGGGGGGCCCTGTGGGGCACGGAGGACATCGCCAGATTGGACGCGGCTGGGGGCCTCCAGGTGAGGGCCCGCTGAGCTCCCAGGCGATCCGGAGGGGGTCTGTAGAGACCTCCCCGATCCCCTCACCCTGGCTGTCCCTTCCAGAGTCTTCGTGTCACCATGGCCACGCACCCCGATGGCTTCCGGCTTGAGGGACCGCTGGCCGCAGTGCGCAGCACTGGGCATCGCACTGTGCTCTATGAAGGGCCTGTCCGCGGGCTCTGCCCCTTTGCCCCCCGCAACTCCAATACCATGGCGGCCGCTGCCCTGGCTGCCCCCAGCCTGGGCTTTGACCGCGTGGTTGGAGTGCTTGTGGCTGACCTCAGGTGAGCTAAGGTGGGGGGTGGGGGGGAGGTCCAGGCTGGGGCCCGGGTCGGCCAGACTGACCGCCCTGCCTGCCGCAGCCTCACAGACATGCACGTGGTGGACGTGGAGCTGAGTGGCCCCCCGGGCCCCGCAGGACGGAGCTTCGCTGTGCACACCCACAGGGAGAACCCCGCAGAGCCGGGCGCAGTCACGGGCTCTGCCACCGTTACCGCCTTCTGGCGCAGCCTCCTGGGTGCGGCCCCCTCCCCCAGCCCTGGGCCCCCGGTGCCCTGCAGAGCCTGGGTCTCCGCCTCCGTCTGGTTTGCAGTTCTGATTCGGTCTCTGTTGACTGATCTTTATTTCTGTCTTTCCTTCACCCTCTAGTCCACGACTTTGAATCCTTATATATTTAGCTCTGTCCAAACCTCCTTTCTCTCAGTTTGGGTCCCCCTCTCGCTGGGACCCCACCACCTCTCTCGCTGTGTGTCTCTGTTCATCTCCCTTCCGGTCTCTGTCCCTCTCTCTAGATCTTCCTCCACCCCCACCCTGGTCCACCCCTGCCACCAGGTGTCTATCTCTCCCTATCTCTCTTCCCCAGCCTTTTATTCCCCCTATCTCCCCTGCAGGCTGCTGCCAGCTCCCTCCCAGGCCGGGGATCCATCTCTGCTGAGAAGGCTCCTCCTTCCCTAGTGGACGTCTTCGTCTCATTTACGTCCCCCCACTACCAGCCCGCTGCTGCCCTGGCCTCGGTTACCCCGGACGTCCCTCCTGTCTCAGTAAATACTGGGGACTCCTCCCTGCAAGGTCTAGTGTCTCCGGTCCCTTGTTTCCCTCCTGTGACGTCACGCTGCGACTTCACACCAGAATTGGCGCCATCACTGGGGGACTGGGGGGAAAGCACTCACTGGAGCAACACTCCCGGAAGCTATCGCGAGAGCCTACTACCCACTCCATTTCCCAGAATCCTCTGAGCACCAGGGGGCGTGGCCGTGCGCGAAGGGGCGGGCTTCGCACGGCATATTTCCGGGATTCACGGCAGGGACGGATTTGCGGTTCCGCGTCCTCGAGGCGGCAGTGGACTTCCGGGGCCAAACTGCCCGGAACTTTCGTGAGCAGCCAAGGGCCTTCGCGGGGGCCGCCGGAAGCCGTAGTCCTGGCACGCGAGGGCCGCCGGGAGCTGTGCGCGTCGCGCCCGCCCAGTCAGCGCCGTGCTGCCGGCCCCGCACTCGGAGCCCACAGCCACCGCCCAGGGGGATGCGGGAGCCCCTGGTTTCGGGGAGCAGAGAGGCAGGCGGGGTGAGGGGCGTTGCCAGGCAACGGGCGAGCGCCGTGGTTGGGGTACGGGTCGGGGAAAGGGCTCTGTTCCTTGGTGTCCGGGGAGGGGGCCCTGTTGCCGAGTGCTAGAAGATAACCCCGTTGTTTGTGATAGGCGAGGGGAGGCTTCTGTTGCTAGGCGACTAGAAGGGACCCTGTTACCTAGAAACAGGGGGAGGAGGATGTCTCCATTGCTAAGTAACCAGAGAAGAGACTTGTTACCTAGTGGGGCCGGGGTCCTCTGTTGCTAGGTAACCAGAGAGGGAGCCTGTTACCTAGGGACAGGGGAGGGGGGTTGCTATATGACCACCATAGGGACCCTTTCACTTAGAGATGTGGTGGCGGGGTGGTCCTCTGTTGCCAGGTGACTAGGAGAGCCTTTTGTCGAGTAATAGGGGATGGAGGTACCCTTTTGCCAGGAGAGCACCTGGGGAGCAGGGTCAGGGGCCTCCTGTCCCCTCAGGCTGCCCTAAGCACCCACCTCAATGGCAGTGCCCCCAGGGCCCGCTGGCAGGTTGGGCCTCCAGATCCCAAGCCCCTGAGTACCTTCTCCCCCGCACCCCCAAGCAGGAGCCGAGGGCGGCATGTCCCAGGCCCCAGGAGCACAGCCGAGCCGGCCCTCCGTTTATCACGAGCGGCAACGCCTGGAGCTGTGTGCCGTCCACGCCCTCAACAACGTCCTGCAGCAGCAGCTCTTTAGCCAGGAGGCTGCCGACGAGATCTGCAAGAGGTGACCGTCGCCCGCCCTGACCCCTGGAGGAGCAGGGCTCCCAGGCTGAGCGACCCGCCTAGGTCTCTTGGCAGGGCCGGGACAGAGCCCCGGGGCTCTCTGCTGCCCCATCACCTGCCTGGGGAACCCCGGGACTGAGAGATGGAGATGTCGCCTCTCACACCTGCCCTTGGCCACGGCCACGGCCCCAGCTCAGGCCTCTCCTTGTCTTCTCTGGACCCTCATCCCCTCCAGTTCTCAGCTTCTGGTTTTTTCCGCCAGTCCACACTACACACGGCCCCAGTGCTGACCCTGCGCTCCCTCACAGCCCTCCTGTGGCTCGCCCGCAGCCCTGGGAGACGTCCCGAGTCATGCCGCCTGATGTCCAAGGCCCTGCATGCTCTGGTCCCCACGGTCCTCTGCAGTGTCAGATCTTACTGAACCCCCCAAACCAGATTCCTCCCCAGTCCCTGGAGGCTATTCCTTCTCCCAGCAGCCTGGAATGTTCGTCCTCACTATGCAGGATTTCAAACATCACTTCTTTGTTATTGTTCTGTCTTGTCTCCTCTCTGTCCCCACAGCCCCGGCCCTGGCTCAGGCCCATCAGCTCCCAGATCCTCCCTCCTGTCAGTAACCCACACGCTGCTGCACCCAGAGAGGACCCCGTCTCCCCACTCTTGCTCACAGCCCTCCCGTGGGCCCCCAGCACCCGCAGGCAGAGTCCCAGCCCCTCACCCTGATCATTACAGAATTTATTCATCCCGTCTGTCATTCACAACAGGGAGCCATCAACTCTTATACACCAGGGCCACGCTGGAGACCCAGAGGGGAGGCCAGTGTGAGCCCTGCCCCGAGGGAGGCCAGGGGAGCAGATGCACAGGAAAATAAGACCCAGACTTTCCCTCTCCGGCCCCTCCCCCTGCCCTGGCCATCAGGGGCCCAGAGAAAGAACAAAGGAGCCACTGTTCAGAGAAGGCAGGACCCAGAGAGCCAAGTGGTGGCAGGGTGGGCCTCCTGCGCTGGGGGACAGCAGGAGGAAAGGCTGAGAGGGGACACAGGAGACGCGGTTGGGGACAGGTGGCTGGGAGAGGGTGGGGTGGGACTGAGGCTAGGAGGCCAGCTGAGGGCGACAAGGCACCAGGGAGGGCGGGGGGCCGGGGGGTCAGTGTCGGGTGTGGACGCCGGATGGGGGTCCAGGTGGAGGAGGACGAGACCTGAGTGGGGGAGATGTGGTTATGGGACAGGGCAGAGAGTCGGGGACAGGAGGAATCGGGCTTGGGGCTGAAGAGCCAGGCGCTTGCAGGAGGGGGACAGTCCCAAGGCTGGGTGACTCAAGGGCCCCAGGACACTCCTGCTTTGTGGGGAGGGCGAGACCTTTGCAGGGGCTCCGTCTCAGGCTCTGACCCTCCCCAACCAGGTTGGCCCCAGACTCCCGGCTGAATCCCCATCGCAGCCTCCTGGGCACCGGCAACTATGACGTCAACGTGATCATGGCGGCCCTGCAGGGGCTGGGCCTGGCCACCGTGTGGTGGGACAGAAGGAGGTGGGACCCCGGGCGCTTCACGTGTGCTGAGCCTGGCACAGTGGGTGCTGTGGGACAGCAGTCGGTGTGAGACGGGGCAGAAGGGGCGGGTGGGTGGAAGGTTGGCACGGGTGGATCGTGGATTTTTGGCCGACCGACGGCTTGGCAGATGGTGCAGATGAGACGGTGGACAGGGCGGGCCTGCGGAGGGACGGGTAGGTGGATGGTGATGGGGTGACTGAGTAGGTGGCAAATGGGTAGTTGGATGTGTTGAGTAGGTGGCTGGTGGATGGGGTGGATGTGGATGGGCGGATGCGAGGTTGAGTGGATAAAGGGTAGACGGTAGGCGGCGGAGAGCAAATAGGTGGTTGGGTGGTTAGTTGCATGGATGGACGGACAGACGGCTGGGTGGGGTGAGACTGGAGGCGGAGTTGGGCAGATGGTGAGCACATTGCGTTGGTGGCCGGCTGGCTGGTCAGCTGCGGCAGTAGGTGACTGATGTTCGGTGGACGATAGATGGGTGATTGGGTGGGGGGGGGTTAGATGGCTGGGAGGTTTGGGTGCCTGGGGGGTGGGCCAGTGGGAGGAAACAGGGTGGGCTGAGTGACGAGAGCCCTTGGGCAGGCGCGGGGGCCACTGCTGCCACGCCTGCCTGGGTCCCGTGGGCTCAGTACCGCTGGGCCCGCAGGGGCTCGCGAGCACCGGACCCAGACGGTGGCATCCCCACTCCTCCCTCACAGGCCCCTGTCCCAGCTGGCCCTGCCCCAAGTGCTGGGACTGATCCTGAACCTGCCCTCCCCCATGTCCCTGGGGCTGCTGTCCCTGCCGCTCCGCCGGCGGCACTGGGTGGCCCTCCGCCAGGTGGACGGCGTCTACTACAACCTGGACTCCAAGCTGCGGGCGCCCGAGGCCCTGGGGGACGAGGACGGAGTCAGGTGAGGGGGAGGCGACTCTGGGGCCGGGACTTGGCGATCGACACCCCACCGCGGGAGGCAGCGCGCGGGCCCCTGGGCCTCAGTGCCCTCACTCCTCTGCCCAGGGCCTTCCTGGCGGGGGCACTGGCTCAGGGCCTGTGCGAGGTGCTGCTGGTGGTGACCAAGGACGTGGAGGAAAGGGGCTGCTGGCTGCGCACAGACTGACCCTGCGGCGGAGAGAACCAGGCCACCGGCCGCGCCGGCCCTGTGCATCCACGTCTGGCTCCTGAGCGCCAGGGGACCCCTCAGGGGCCCAGCCCCTTTCCCGCGCCCCCTGCTCCCCAGTGCCGCTGCTGCCTCAATAAATCTGCTGATTTGCTGCCGGCCTGGCCCGCGTCTGACTGGGGGTCCCCTGCCTCCCGTTGCCGTTTACCAGGGAGGCCGCTCGCCAGGCGGGCACTGCTGGGGGCCGGAGCTCAGACACCAGCTTTGCCAGTGCAGGCAAGTCGCCCACCCTCTCTGGGCCTCAGTTTCCCCATCAGTGGCATAGCAGAGAAAAGCACAAATCCCTGCCCTTGTGAGCTGGTGGGAGAGACCAGGGGCAGTCTAGAACGTTCAGTGGGGGGGGGGGGGGGCGGGGTGCGCCTGGGTGCTCAGTCAGTTGAGCATTGGACTCTTGGAACTCAGGGTCATGGGATCGAGCCCTGTGTCAGGCACCACACTCAGCGTGGAGCCTGCTTGGGATGCTCTCTCTGCCCTCTCTGCCCGTCTCCAGCTTGCTCGCTCGCTCTTTCTCAAAACAAACATTTCTAGAATGATCGGGGGGATCAGTGCTGAGGAGAAAACAAGTTTCTCGATTCTGTGTTCTACCCCGTCAGCTGCTCCAGGAGACGCCGCTGGGGACTGCCAGTACGCCCGCTCCATGGCTCGGGACGCGAGCCCGCTGACCTGAACGCAGGGGGGCTGTCCTGCGTTATCTGGGGGCCCAGGCCACCGTGGGGTCCTCACAGGTGGAGGAGGCGGCGGGACAGTCAGAGACGTGGCGAAGGAAGCAGGTCAGAGATGCTATGTGGCCTCGGCTCGGAGGACAAGGGGCCAGAGCCAGGAAGCGGGGCCACCTCTGGGGGCTGGAACCGCCAAAGGGAGGGGGTTCTCCCGGGCCCCGGCAGGAACCGCCTGCCCAGGACTCCGGCCCAGGGAGGCTCGCTGGACTTCTGACCTCCGCGAGTGTGAGAGTAAATGCGTGTTGTTTTTAAGGCACTGACTTTGTTAGAGCAGCCATAGGACCGGTGCGCTGGGGGTAGGGTCCGTCCCGGAAGGTGGGCCTCACCCAGAAGCAGGGGAAGGAGGGAGCCGTGGGGAGGTGCGCAGGAAGGGCATTCCGGCCTGAGAGAACAGCCAGTGCAAAGGCCCTGAGGAGGCTGACATGACCGGAGGCATGAAGCAGGGCAGGGAGGTGACAGAGGGGGAAGGTGGGCCCTCTGGGATTTGAGCAGGACAGGCACCCATTAGGTGTCTCTCCACAGTCACCTGAGCAGGACCCCCTCCTGTTCTGTGTCTTTCCCTGGGGCCTGCGGTCCCTCGTCCCTCCCTCGTCCCTGTCCGCAGCCCTTGTCCTATGAGCCGTCACATGGCTCCCTGCCCAACCTCTGGGTCTGGCCTATGCCGCTGAAGCGAGTGGCTCGCTCTCGGGCTGGGAGGAAGACACAGGAGGACAGGAAGCAGCCCCCTGTCCCAGTTCCAGGGGGGTACTTTCAGGGGGGCCTCCAGGGGGCCCCAGGAAGATGAGGGAACCTGGGGGAGCTGGCTCTCCAAAGGGCCATGGGAGGGAAGGCGGCCGTTCCAGAACCGGAAACAACTCTCAGTGGAACCTCGAATCCGAGGGGGCAGTTGTTCCTGACAGGTGATGAGGGGGGGTCCCCGCCAGGCCCCAGGGCCTCCAGGGGGGAGCTGAGGGCTGGACTTTGTCCAGGACAGTGGGTGGGGGCTGCAGGGGGGCCGCGGGTCAGTCCTGGGCTCAGAAAGCCCCCTTGGGGATGGTGTGGGGACAGCCTGGAGGCCGGGGGACCTGGGAGGAGGGTCCAGATGAGAGAGGACGGAGGCCTGAGTCCAGACCGTGGGGAGGGGAAGAGGGACACAGCCCGGCGGCCCTGCGGGCAAAAGCGGGGAGGCATGAAGGCCGGACCCCTGGGACCCTGGGATGGGGGGGGCACCCCAACAGATGCAGAGTGGTTTGAGGTTTGGGGGACATGCTGAGCTCAGTGGGATAGAAGGGATGTGGCAGACCAGGTGACATCAGGGTCAGGGCTCAGGAGATGGCTTCGGGGGTCTGGGGTCTGTCCCAGGAGGCATGAGTGCGTGTGAGCCCAGGGAGGGAAGCAGTAGAGCGGGGCCTGGCAAAAGTGGGGTCCTCTCTTAGGGGGGCAGAAATGGGGGACCCAGAGGCACAGGAGGCCATGGGCAGGGCGAGGCAGGGTGAGCGTCCCTGTGCCGGGCTCCCTCCGGACAGCAAGTTCTTCCAAGCACACAAGCTAAACCCGGACGCCGGAAAGAAGGCGGGTGCAGCTGCCGGGACCCGGGGCTTGGAGGCCCCGCTCCTCCGGAGACTTCCAGAGGTCAAAGGGCAACTTGTAAAGTGAAGTCAAACAGCACATTAGAGAGAAAGGGCTGGGGTCCCAGGACACCCCAACTTTGGGGGCAGCCCCCCCCCACGCAGCCCCCCTGCCCCCCTGCAGCTTGCCGGCTGTCCCACACCTGCTCTCTGACTCCCCCTCCCTTCTTGGGCTCTGTGGGTATTTCTGTGTCTCTATCTGCCTCCCATCTCCCTGCGGCCCCGGGCCCCGCCCTGCCCTCCGTGCCTGTCGCCCGTCCCCTGCCTGTCCCCTGCGGGTCCCAGACAGCCTGGCGGGACTCCCTGAGTGTTTCTATTCTCGGGTCTGAGTGACCTCCCCAGGTGCCTTCTCCGCTGTGGCCTAATATGGTCCGAGCGCAGCGCCGGGTGGGACCCGGGGAGGGGCGGGGGGCGGCCTCCCCAACCCCCCCCCCCCCCTCCAGGGCCAATCTCTCCCCCCTACCCCACCCCTGCACTGCCAGGCTTCCGGGCCTGCCCGCGGATGGGGATCGAGTGCTGCCCCTTCGGCCCTCACGACGCGGAAGGTGCCCTGCGCCCTCACCCTCGAGGCCACCGCTCCCGGGGACAAGGCCCGGCTCAGGCGGTCCCTTGCCCCAGGGCGCCTGCTGGCCCGGTCCCTTGCCCCAGGGCGCCTGCTGGCCCGGCGGGTCCCAGAGCTCCGCGGGGTGACGGGCTCCGCGCTAGGCCGCCCGTTCGCAGGGCCCCGCCCGGTCGCGGGAAGGGGGGGCCACAGTCACGCGGCAGGTGCAGGGTGGGGTGACAGCTGTCCCGCGCCCCCCGGCGCTGACAGCTGAGGCCCGATTTAGCTCCGGGAGCCCGGGGCTGACCAGATAAGGCGGCGGAGGGGGTGGACCCGCCCCCAGGGCGCCCCTTAAATTGCCCAGATGGGCCTGGGGGCCGGCCGCCCGCTGATGCCAGGTGAGGGACCGCGCGCCTTCCTCGACTGCCCCGCGGCCTGCCCAGCGGCTGGGCCCTTTCTCTCTCTCTCTCTCTCCCTCCCTCTCTCCCCACTGCCCTCCGTCTGTCAGTCCGTCCCTCTCTCTCCCCTGCCCCGCTCCCTCCCTCCTCCCATCTCTCTGCGTCTGTCTGTCCGTCTGCTGTTTCTTCCCAGCTCTGTCCTCACCCCGTTCCTCCGCCTCCCGCGTCCCTGTCCCTCTTCTCCCTCACCTTCGTTTCCGAGTCTCTTCCTCTCTCTGTCTCTCTCCATCTCTGCCTCTGCCTCCCACCCATGTCTCTCCCTTGTCCCGTCTCTCCATCCCTCCCCCACCTCTCTGGGCCTCAGTCTCCGTCTCGGTCTCTCCCGGCCTCAGTCCCTCTGTCCCCTCGCCTCCTGCCCCCCCAGCGCCGGGGAGGCCGCGGGGCCTCTGCTGCTGCGTCCGCTCAATAAAGCCGTTCTGTCCTCACTCTCTCGCTCCCCTGGCCTCCTCCTTTCCTTCCTCACCCCTCCGCCTCCGCCCGCCCCGCTCCTCCCTCCCAGAGACAGCGAGAAACTGAGGTTGAGACAGACGAGGGACTGGGGAGACAGAAAGGCGAAGCAGAGGGAGACCCTGGGACAGTGAAACAGAGACCAAAGCAGGGGGCGGCAGACCTAGAGGCGGACAGACTGCGGGGCACAGGGACGCGGGGGGACACACAGCGAGGTGGGGCCGCAGAGACACAGAGGGACTCAGAGACCCAGAACCGAGCCGGGGCGGCGCCCACCCCCCCACAGCAGAGCCCGGCTGAGCGCCCCCTCCCCGTCCCCCCCGGGAGAGCCAGGCCCAGAACAATGTGTCCTTGTCCCCGGCGGCAGCTGGGGGGCGGGCTGGGTCCCAGGGGAGGGGCAGCCCCCAGGAGGCCCAGCCTCCACCCTCAGACTCCCCCTTCTCCCTCATCCTCCTCCCTCTGGCCCCCCAGCCTGCTTTCCGCTAGGGAAGGGGGCACGGTTTCGGGGCACGTGCTGTATGGACGTGAGATGCCTTCTGGCCTCCCCACCCCCCAGCCCTGCACCCTCCTGTCTCCCCCTGGACCCCCAGCTGCTGCTTCCTGAGCTTCTGGCCCCCGTTCTGGGAGGAAATGGGCATTTTCGAATCCCTAGTGTTTGTCAGGCAATTTCCACACCCTGCCTCTCTCTGTACCTAGCACTCTGCTCTCCTGTCCCTTCCACCCGATTCCTGCACTGTCTGGTCTCCGGGGAGGAAAACGTGCATTTATGGGGCACCTGCTGTGTGCTGGGAAATTTACAAACTCTGTCTCCCCTCTTAACTATACTTTTTTCTCCCCTGTCCTTTCTTCCCTCTCCTTTCTGACCTTCTGCTTCCTCCTGGGGGAGGGAATGAACACATACTGAGCGCCTACTGTGTGCCCTTAGTTTCCACATCTTCCCTCCCTTCCTCATACCTTCTTCCCCTTCTCCCTGTCTCTCCTCTGTCCCCTCCTCATCTTTCTGGGCTCTCTTCCAAGGCAAAGAACACACATTTACTGAGCACCTATGGTATGCCAAAATTGCCTGTGCTTTCTCTGCTGTCCTCTCACCGGATTTCACTGACCTGTGGTTTCTGCTGCTTTCTGTTCTCTGCCAGGGAAGGAAATGGGCATTTGTTGAGCACCTATTGTATGCCAGACAATCTCCTTACACTCTCCTCCCCCCTCAATTTTCCCTGTTCCTTCATTTCTGACTTCTTTCTGCTCCATCTGCTCTTTCTTGGGGGAGAAAATATGCAACTATGGAACGCCTACTGTATGCCAGGCAATTAACATTCCATCTCATCTCCTCTTGCCTCTTTTTCCCTGTCCCTCTTGCTCTGCCAGCGTCTCCCTTCCCGGGGCCCTCTTTTGGGGAAGAGAACAAGCACTTACTGAGCACCTCCTGTGTGCCCCATGATTTGCCTGCACTACCTCTTTCCTGTGCTTCCTCTCCTCTGCCAATTCTTCTCGAGGTTACCTCCTTTCTTCTGATCCGCCAGCCTCATAGCCTCCTCTGCATTGACCTCCTTGGCCAACCTTCCTTTCCTTTGGCTTGTACCTGCGTCTTCCTTTTCCTCTTGTTCTCTCCCCCCAGGAAGACAGTGAGCATTTATTGAGTGCCTCCTGTGTACCCACAGCCTAACTTACACATTCTTTTTCTTCTCCTGGGCTCCTTCTCTGCTCTGGCTTCTCCCCATCCTCTCTGTCCTGTCTGCTGTCTTCTGGGGAAGGAAATAGGCATGTATTAAGCACCTACTGTGTTCCGCTCCTTCGTATACACTGTCATTGCTTGTTTCACTGGTTCTGTTCTTCCTTTTCTCTTCCTCTCCGCTTCCTTCCCTCCTCCTGGCTGCTTTCTGTGTGCTCATTACCAAGGAGGGGTACGGGCATTTATTAAGTACCTACTGTGTGCCCAGTGCTTTACATATACTGTCTCCTTCCCTCACAACTTCTCCTGTTAATTCTTCCTTTCCCTGTCTTTCTTCTTTCTCTTGGGAAAAGAACTAATACTTAATAAGCACCTGCTGTATGCCCAGCAATTTCCACCTATGTCTCTCTCTCTCTCTCCTTAGGCTGTCTTTCCTCCCATTTTTCTGCTCTGGTGGTCTCTTTCCCCTTTCTGACTTGCTTCCTCTCTCCTGAAGACAGGAATGGGCATGGAGAGCACCTACTGTGTGCCAGGCTCTTTATACACAGCCTCCCCTCCTCACAATCTCCTTCCCCTCCCCTCTCCTCTCTGCTGCCTCTTCTCTTCCTTCCTGCTCTCAGAGCTCCCAACACTAACTGGGAAGGGGAAAAGGAAGGGAAAGGGGAAAGGGGCACTAATTGAGCACCAACTGTGTGCTGGGTCATTTACACACACTGACACCCCTCATTACACCTTCTGTCCCGCCCTGCCCCTTCCGCTCCGCTGGCTTCCTTTCTTTCCTGTTCTTCCTTCTCAGTAGCGGGAGCTCGGGATTTCCCAGCAGAAGGGATCTGGGGGCCTCTAGGAGTCTGTCACCACCACTGCAGAAGCCGCAGGCCAGCTGCCCCTTGCAGTGACGGTGACAAATCTGGGCTCCAATTTGATTCCTTCATTAGAAAAACAAATATGAATGACAGCCACTCTGGTTTTGGGGAGGGACAAGGGGACTGAATGAAGGCTGAGAAAGTAGGGTAGAAAGTGCTAGAACAGAACAAGGGAGGCAGCAAGTGACCAGTGGAGGAGGCGCCACAAAGTCTCCCATTACATCTCCCGCCACCCCTCCCCTCCCACCCCCCTGCCCGGGGCTGGGCTCCTGGGGGCCCTGGGGACGCAGATGGTGACACTGAAGCTCAGAAGGGGAAGGGGGCTTTCCGGCCGCGGCCTCCCTCCCTCTGCCTCGCTCTGAGTGTCTGCTCCCCGCCCCCCCTCCAGTCCTCGGCCGCCCCTCAGACCCCCTCAGACTCTCTCTCTCTCAATCTCAGACTCTCTCTCTCTTTCTCTGACTCACTCTGACTCTGTCTCTCTCACACTGGCTGTCTCTCAGTGTCTCAGATTCTCAGTCTCTCTCTCCTAGACTCTCTGACTCTCTCTCTCTCTTTGAATCTCTCTCTGACCCAGTCTTTCTGACTTTCTTTCTCATCTATGACTTGTCTCTGTCTCTCTCTCTCTCTCAGACTCCCGGACTCAGACTACTCAAGCTTTGTCTCTCTCAGATTCTCTCTCTCTCTCTTTGACTCTTTCTGACTCTGTCTCAGACTCTGACTCAAACTCTCTCTCTCTCTCTCAGACTGCGTCTCTCGGACTCTTAGACTCTCTGACTTTCTATCTCTCTCTCTCTCTCTCTCTTTGACTCTGTCTCTCTGACTCAGACTCAGTCTCTCAAATTCTCTCTTGAACTCTCTGACTTTGTCTCTCTCAGATTCTCTCTCTGACTCAGTCTCTCTGACTCTCTCAGAATCTGTCTCCCTCTCAGAATCTCTCTCAGAATCTCTCAGACTTGTCTCTCAGAATCCCTCTCTCAGATTCCCTCAGAATCTTTCTCTGAATCTCTATTTCTCAGACTTGTCTCTTCTCTCTCTCTGATTCCCTCAGAATCTCTCTCTTTCTCTGAATCTCTATTTCTCAGACTTCTCTCTCTCTCTCTCTCTCAGAATCTCTCTCTCAGATTTGTCTCTCTCTCTGACACTCTCAGAATCTTTGTCTCTCTCAGACTTATCTCCCTCTGACTCTCCCAGAATCTCTCCATCTGGCTCAGACTTGTCTCTCTCAGATTCTCTCAGAATCTCTCTCTTTCAGAATCTGTCTCAGACTTCTCTCTCTCTCTCTCTGACTCTCCCTCTCAGATTGTCTCAGAATCTCTGTCTCTCTCAGACTTCTCTCTCTCTCTCAGGCTCTCCCAGAACCTGTCTCTCTGACTCTCCCTCTCAGATTCTCTCAGAACCTCTGTCTCTCTCACTCTCTCAGAATCTCTCTCTCTCTCAGACTTGTCTCTTTCTCAGACTCTCAGAATCTCTCAGACTTGTGTCTCTCTCTCTCTCTCAGACTTGTCTCTCTCTGTGTCTCTCTCAGATGTCTCTCTCTCTCAGAATCTCTCTCTCAGACTTGTCTCTCTCTCTGACACTCTCAGAATCTTTGTCTCTCTCAGACTTATCTCCCTCTGACTCTCAGACTCTCTCAGAATCTGTCTGTCTCAGACTTGTCTCTCTCTAATTCTCAGACTCTCTCAGAATCTCTGTCTCTCACACTTCTCTGACTCTGTCTCTCTCAGATGTCTCTCTCAGAATCTCTCTCAGACTTGTCTCTCTCTAATTCTCAGACTCTCTCAATCTGTCTCTCAGACTTGTCTCTGACTCTCTTTGACTCTCAGAATCTCTGTCTCTTTCAAAGTTGTCTCTCTCAGAATCTCTCTCTGACTTGTCTCTGACTCTCAGAATCTCTCAGACTCTCTCTTAGAGTCTCTGAATGTCTCTCTCCCTCTGTCTCTCTCAGACTTGTCTCTGACTCTCTCTCTCTCAGAATCTTTGTCTCTCTCAGACTTGTCTCTCTCAGACTCAGAATCTGTCTCTCTCAGACTTGTCTCTGATTCTCTCTCAGAATCTCTGACTCTCTTAGACTCTCTGAATGTCTCTCTTCTCTCTGTCTCTCTCAGAATCTCTCAGATTCTCTCTCAGATGTCTCTCTCTGACTCCCTCTCTCTTTCAGACTCTCAGAATCTCTCAGACTTGTCTCTCTGATTCTCAGAATCTCTCTGACCCTCTCAGAATCTCTGTCTCTCTCAGACTTGACTCTCTCAGAATCTCTGTCTCTCTCAGACTTGTCTCTGACTCTCTCAGAATCTCTCAGACTCTCTATCTCTTTCAAAGTTGTCTCTCTCAGAATGTCTCTTAGACTTGTCTCTGACTCAGAATCTCTCAGACTCTCTCTTAGACTCTCTGAATGTGTCTCTCCCTCTCTGTCTCTCTGACTTGTCTCTCTGACTCTCTCAGAATCTCTCAGACTTTCTATCTCTTTCAAAGTTGTCTCTCTCAGAATCTCTCTTAGACTTGTCTCTGACTCTCAGAATCTCTCAGACTCTCTCTTAGAGTCTCTGAGAGTCTCTGAATGTCTCTCTCCCTCTCTGTCTCTCTCAGACTTGTCTCTCTCAGAATCTCTATCTCTTTCAGACTTGTCTCTCTCAGAATCTCTGTCTCTCAGAATCTCTCAGACTCTTAAACTTTGAATGTCTCTCTCCCTCTCTCTCTGACTCTGACGGTCTCTCAGACTCTTTTTCACTCAGACTGTGTCTTAGACTCTCTCTGACTCAGACTCTTCCTCAGACTCTGTCTCTCTCTGACTCTGTGTCTCTCAGACTGTCTCTCTCTCTCTCTCTGACTCTCAAGACTCTCTCAGGCTTTGTCTCTCTCAGACTATCTCTCTCCGTTCCTCTCTCTCAGACTTTGTCTCTCTCCGACTCTCTGCCTCTCTCCCTTCCTCTCAGACTCTCTGTCTCTCAGACTCTTTCAGGTTCTCCCTCAGACTCTTGTCTCTCGGACTCTCTCTCTGACTCTGACTTTTTCTCAGACTCTGTCTCTCTCATTCTCTCTCCCTGACTCTCTCTCCCTGGGACTCTCTCTGCGTCCCTGTCTCAATATGTCTCGTTCTTCATCTTTTCCCCGCCTCTCCTGTCCCCCTGTCCCCACACGCGCCATCTCGGAGCCCCTCTCCTCACACCAGTGTCCCCCGCGCTGCCTCTGGTTCCTTCCTCACACTTTCTTGGCCGCCTCACTTCCCCCTCCTCCTCCCGCTCCCCTCCCCTGCTCCTCTCTCCTCCCCCTCCTTTCCGTCCGGAGCTGGGTCCCCCTCCCCCCCGCGGGTCCTCTTTCCCCCTCTCCTCGCCCTCCTCAGCGTCACTCTAGTTCACACACACGCACACGCACACGCACACCCCGTTCTCCCTTCTCCCCAACCGACGCTTCACTTCCCTCCGGCCGACCCCACCCCCGTCTGGCCCCCTGGCCCGTGGCTCCCAGCCTCCCCCCCCCCCCCCCCTGCCCCCCCCGGCTGCGCTTCCCTCCGCCCCCTCCACCCCGTCCCTCGGCCCTGGGGGGGGACCACGGTGGCATCCTGACAGCGGCGCCTGGGGCGGGGAGGGGGAGGCGTGTGGCGGGTCCCCCTCTTCCCTCCGCTTCTCTGCGCGCCTCTCCTCTTCCTCTGCTCTTGTCCCCTTCGCTTCCAGCTTCTTTTCCTTGTATCCGCTTCGCACCCCAACCTCCCCTTCTTCAGGCTGTGCTCGGGGAGCCCCGTTCCCTTCCCCCTCCCGTGTCCCTGCCCCGGTCCCTCCGTCTGTCTCTCACACGCCACTTCTGTCCCCCCCGCCCCTCCAGGGGGCCTCCTAGTCCCCCCTTTCTGTCTACACTCTCAGTCGGCCTTTCACTGTAGCTTCTTTTCATTGACTTTTCACTCCTCTTCCTGCTCCGTCCCCTCCCCGTCCTGCCGCCGTTGCGTCTCTACCCCCTCCCCGCCCTGTCTTCCCCGCTTTCCTGGACAGCCCCCCCCCCGTTTCCCTTCCCAACTTCTCGGTCTCTCTGCTTCCCGCCTCTGCGTCTCCCCCCAGGTCCCCCTGCCGCCTGCAGCAGCGGGGAGGCCCCTGGCCGGGCGCCCCCACGAGCTGGTGACACTCGTCTCCCGCCTCCGAACAGACAGCCCCGTGATTCGGGTGTCCCATTTCACGACAGTCAGGTCACGGCCCGGGCCCACCAGCCCGCCGCTCTCCGGGGGGAAGGGCGCTATCTCTCGGGGGGGGGGGGCGCACAGCCGCCCCTCCCTCTTCTCTGGCTCCGGCTGGTGGTTCCTTCGGTCCTCTTCATCACCCGGCTCCTTCCGCACACCGTCGGCTCGGGACTGTCGGTGTTCCCCGCTGTCACTTCCTCGTCTCCCTAGGTCACAGAGCGCCCGCGGAGTGGCGGCCGGGCGCCGAGGAGGGAGAGGCGTCTCCGCAGCTGCCTGTGACCTCGCTCTCCAGTCGCCTCTCCCCGGCCAGGCCCCCACCCCGCCGGACCCCGGCCGGGGGCCGCGGCTTCTGGGCGTGCGCGTGCCTGCCCTGCCAGTGTGCGCGCGCACGCGCCTGTCTGTGTCCGTCCGTGCGCGGGCGCGTACCTGTGCGCGCGCGCGCGCCTGTGCCTGTCTGGTCCGCGCGCGTCTACCTGTGCGCGTGCGCGCCCTTGCCCCGCCGGCGTTTCCAACCCCCTCTCCCTCATCCCTTCCCCTCCTCCTCCCGCTCCCCAGCCGCTCCCCGCACCCCTCACTCTTCTCAGTGCGGCTTGTGCTCTCTCCTCCCGGCCTTTTTCTTCCGCTTCCTTCTCTCTCACCTCTTTTCCCGGCCCCGGCTCCACGCGCACCTGGCACTCCCCGCCCCTCGCTCACACCCCTCCTTTCTCGGCCTCTCTCCTCCTCCGCCCGGTTCTGTCCCGCCCGCCCGCTCTCCACCCTGCAGTCTCCCTTGTTCTCCGTCTCTCTAGTTCCCGTGCGCGCTCCCCCTCCCTCCGCCTGCTCTCCTCCCCTGCCCTGCCCCGCCTTGGCCTTCTCCTCCCGGCCCTCGCCCAGCCCGCCCTCCTTCTGTCTGTCTTTCCCGCCTCTCCCCGTGCCCCTCACCCCTTCTGTCTTTCCCGCTCCCGTTCGCTCCTCCGCTCCGCACCCTCCCCTGCTCTCCCGGACCGTCTCCTGCCTCCGGCCGTCCTCTCCCATTTCCGACTCTCTCCCTTCATCTCCCTACTCCTCCTTCCCCCAGCCGTCCCCCTCCCCGCCACCGTCTCCTTTCCTCTCCCTTCTCCCCTCTCTCTCAGGGCCTCCCCCCAGCCTTTCTTCTCTGTCGCCCTTCCTCGTCCCCCCGCATTCCATTTGTCCCCCGCCCCGCGCTTTCTCTTCCCTTCTTTCCTACTTGCTCCCCTCTCCTGCTCGCTTCCATCCCTTCTCTCCCCACCCCTTCAGTCTCTCTCTCTCTCTCTCTCTCTTCCTCCCAGACTTCTTCCCTCGCACTCGCCTCCTTTCCTCTGAGCCTTGTCTCCTGGGAGGCCCCTCCACGCCCCGCCCCTGCAGGCGCTCTGAGCTCCTCTCCCGTCTCCCTCCCTGAGGTCCTGAGCTGACACGCACCCAGGGACCTGTGCGGCGTTTGTGCCAAGAGGCTGGACAGCCCGGAGGAGGGCTGCCCAGCCTGCGGCCCCCGAGGTGGAAGGGCATTTGTGACACCCCCTTTCTCTCTTTCTGTCTGTCTGTCTGTCTGTCTTGGACCCTGGACCCTGCCGGGAGGAACGACGCCTGCCCCTGGCCCAGGCAGGAGGAAATGAGGAGCTGCCTCAGACACCGGGACTGCGATGCCTGGAGACGCAGCCAGTGAGTGGCGGGGCCGGGACTGGCTGGGCCACCCTGCTCCACTGTGCCGAGCCCTGGTGGGCGTGGTGAGCGTGGTGGGCAGGCAGCTGCCTCCTCTCTGCTCGGTCCTCCCCAGTCCTCCACCATCTTCTCTCCTTCAGGCGGCACGGAGCGTGGGCGGACCTCACCTGACTCCCATTTCACCCATGAGAACACAGGCACCAGTGTTACCGAAGACCAGAATCTGCTGGGACAGAGGCTTCGTGGGGACCCCGATCTTCCCAAGGGCCGAGAGCACCCCCTGCAAGGCCCTTCACTTCGTGAAAAGGCGCCACGTGCGCCTGTCCTCCCCAGCGTACCCAGCAGAGTGTCCTAGGGGCCTGGGAGGCATTCCCTGGCGGTGTGAAGCCTTTTATCGCCACCTACTGATAAAGGACGGAACTGCAACCCGGCTGGATTAGACACCAGGAATGGCTGAAAAAACACAACAAACTGCAGGGACTGGAATGCTTGGGGGAGGGGTGTGTGGGAGGAGAGATATTGGTAGGGGTGAGGGGAGATGGAAAATCTGTAAAAATGTGAAAATGTTTACTCTTGGTCACCATGTAAACATCAACCCCAGCAAGCTCCTTGGTTTGCCAGCTTAAACCTCCACACTCCCATTTTCATTCTGCGGGTGGGGTCTCCCCGCGTTGCCATGGAAATGCAAGCGTGACTCTCTGCGGGGAAACAAAGGAAAGTTGCCTGGGGGCCTGTTTCTAGGAACTGGGCCAAGTGGAGTTTTCCTCTGTAAGGACACCACTGTGTCCTGCTGAACTGAAAGGTGGGTTGCAGCGAAGGAGAATGACTGACAGCTAGAGAGGCCCCAGGAAGTGGCCCCTGACCCTCACTGGGAGTCTCCCCGCTGGGTTAAATGGAGGCTACAGAACTATTTCCCAAAGCCCCTGCTACGCCGTAATTTGACACAGTAGGATCTTTAAAAAACACTAAAATTATTAGCCTTATGAATTTTTTTTTTCTTAATGTTTTCATTTTTGAAAGAGACAGAGCATGAGCAGGGGAGGGGCAGAGACAGAGGCAGACACAGAATCCGAAGCAGGCTGCAGGCTCTGAGCTGTCAGCACAGAGCCCGACGCAGGGCTCGAACCCACAGACGGCCAGATCATGACCGCTTCACTGACTGAGCCCCCAGGCGCCCCAGCCTTACAGATTTTAAGAGTGCCTGTCCTACAACTCTGTCCTAAGTATACCTAAATGACAATGTGAAACCCCGGGGTGGGAAAGGGGTTTCCTACACGAACATTTATGGGGCAAAGAAGAGCATCCAAAAGGAGAGACAGGAAAGTGGAGAGAGAGGCGACCCCCTCGTTGAGCATCTCCCTTGCAGGCGCACTCCCACCTCCGACCAGGGGACAGGAGGCCAGAGGACCGAGTGGGCTCCACAGGGACAGAGGGAGAGGGGATGACAGAATGGGGGTTGAGGCTGGGAGGGCGTAGAGGGTGCCTCCGGGCTGGCCAGGTGGTATCTGAGGGGGTGCTCATCAATGAGGCTGAAGAGGAGGAACAGAACAAAAACTAACGGGCCTCCGAGGCCAGGCAGAGGGGCTGGGGCTTTGTCCTGGGGAGCCACGGCAAGGCTGGGAGCGGGGGAGAAGCCAGGGCAGCTCTGGTGTCAGAAAGCCCCTCATGATGGGGTGCCTGCGGGGCTCAGTTGGTTAAGAAATCCCCTGGTGAGGCCAGGGAGGGGGCTGGGCTGATGGGCCGGGCAGGGAGGAGGAAGTCAGGGCTGGGACCCTGGGGACAGAGGAGAAGGGGTGAGGCACGAAGAGCAGAGTAGGGCACAGCAGCGCTCTGGTCTGCGAGGCCAGGTGGGTGGTGGCCCTGCATCCTGGGGTAAGGATTCCTGGAGGAGCTCCGACGGGGCGGACTCTCAGAGGTCCCTGGGAGGATCCTCTGGGCCTGGAGCCCACGAGGGGTGTCTGAACTGGAGGTGGCTTCGAGGACCTTCAGCAAGAAGAGCTCCAGCATGGCTGGGAGGCGGCAGCTGAGACCGCCCCCCGCAGGCCCCGGCCCGGCAGCGTGTCCTGCGGACTCGTGCGCCTGCACAAAACGAGGCTAGCGTGTGTGGGGCGCTGCCTGAACCCCCACGGCTCCATCCACGAGGGGCCGACGAAATCAATCCCAGGCCGGCCCTGTCACAGAATGAGGGTGCATTCTGTCCGACACGCAAACCTCCCCAATTTAGAAGGGGTGGAAAAAACTAGAGCAACACACTTTTTGTAAAAACGATTTAGCTCCGCATTTGCTTGGTGACACAGCGCAGCTCCGAAGCAGGCCCAGGAGACGGAAAACGCAGGCGGCCCCCAGGAAGGGGAGCAAGTACCAGGCCGGGGTGGGCGGAAGGCCCTTGCTTTGGACCCTATGGTATCTTTTTGAGTTCTGTGCTCTATCATGATTACCTTTTAATAAAAATTTCGTAAAAATTCACAAAAATTACCTTTTCACAAAAGCACCTCTGATCTGCCGTAGTAATTCTACCTTCAGTCCCTCGTCCCGGGGATTCAAACTCCCCAGAGAGCCCGGACAACAATGTCTGTCCTGCTAGGTGTCCAGCACATCGAGCAGGAAGCTACATGCTGAACATGGGGACAGTTTAATAAACAGCCACACGACCCCGGGGGCCTTCCACAGCCATCACAGCGACCCGCCGGCCCTGTGTGTGCTTCTGAATGACGACCTGCCGCGAACGGCAGAAGTTCAGGAAAGCTTGGGCACCCGGATTTCCTTGGAATCAAATCAACGGTTGCATCTGGCTGCTGAGAAGTTGTAACTTTTCAAAACACTGAGGTATTTCAATATATTTTTTAATGGTTTTAAATAGACAAAGAGGGAGTGGTGGGGGTGATAAATAGCAAAGGCCAGGCAGTCGCCGCCCAGTGCCCAGACCCAGGGAAGACATTCTGGACAGGGGAACGGGGTCTATTTACATCATCCGGCCCTCAACTCCACTAAACGTTAGTTTTGTTCTCACTTTAAACCTAATTTCGACACGGCCCGAAGCCTACAGAAGGCCTGGCATCCTGACGGCAGCCTCAACTGCGCAGGGCCAGGGGCAGATAGAGGCCGGGGCAAGGGCAGCGTCCCAAGGCGCGGCTGCTGGGAGGAACGGAGCCTGCGGGGCGCCCTGGCCGGCCCGCCCCTGTGCCAGGCCCCTCAAGGGCAGATGGGTGGGAAGCGCGTGGCCCGATCCAGCATCAGACGAGTCAGGGGACCACCTAGCCCAGCCGGGGACAGGCAGGATGAGGAGACGACGGACAAAGGCACAGAGGCTGGAGAGAACTCGGCGTGTTCCCAAACTGTGGCGCGGGGGGAGTGAGGGGGACAAACACAAGGCCACAGGTGGCCCAGGAGCTCGAGCTGCATGCTGTGGGCGCGGGGAAGCCGTAGGGGCTGTGGAGGGGCCGCAGGGGAAGGGGGAGCACACCAGAATGCGGCCCCCCGCCCAGAGAAACAGCAAGGACCGGAGGGAAAGGACCCCTGGGGAGGGGGCGTCCTCCCAGGCTCCTGGGACGGAGATGGGAGCAGCTGGTAGCAAACCCTTCCCAGGACAACCAAGGACACGGGCACTCTGGGCAAGAAGGGAGTTGCCTGGATGACAGAGGACCAGGGCGTGACAGGCCCCTCAACGGCCACTGCCCCCACCGCCCCCTCCGCCGCTGCCCCCTCCCTGGCCCCCGGCATCCGGTGCTCCTGACATCATGAGGAACAGGACGACGGGAATGATGTACATCCACTGCGGGCCGGATGGGATGACAGACAGACAGACAGAGACACAGAAAGAAGAGGAGTGAGTGTGAGCAGAGTTCCCCCAGGGCGGGGAAGGTAGGGGCGCCGGCATGAGGGGAGGCCACATGAGGGAAGGGGGCCCAGGTCCCCTACATCACTACAGGTCCAGGGAGGGCAGGTGGGGTACGGGGAGGGTGGAGGCGGGAGGGGGGCTCAGTCCTCACTCAGGCCTCCTGCGGCGGCGGCGCGGGCCCCGGGGCGGCGGGACGCAGGGCTGTGAGCAACACGGCCCCCCCGAGGATGAGGTGCCACTGGGGAGGGAGGGGTACAGGTCAGGGCTAGGGATGGCCATGGAGTCCTGTGGCCACTGGGGAGAGCAGAGCTGGGGCAGTGGGCCCTTGGCCTCTCTGGGCCTCAGTTTCCCCGCCGTTCAGCTGTCAGGCAACCCTGAAGTCAGGAGCTATTGGCAAACTAACTGAGGCCCCACGGGCACCACGCTGAGGGCTGTGGGGCTTGGCACCCGCTACCTGTAGTGGCCTCTGCTGTCCCCCGATCCCCCGCCCTGGCCTCGTGGGGACCAGCCTTCCGTGCTCCCCCTTCCCCCCAGCTCCTCCGGCTGCTCCAGCCTGGCCGCACAGGCCCCGCCCCTCGCCAGCTTCAGACCCGCTTCCTGCGCCCCGCCACCCAGAGGCCTGCTCCCCTAATCGCCCCTTCCCAAAGCGTCCCACCACCCACCTTCTCCTTCCCGAATCTCCCCGGTCCACAGCAGCCCCTGCCTCCCACCCCCGTCCCGGCCTCAGCCCTCCTCACTGCACTTCCTCCAAACGGGCCTCTCCTATTCAAGACCAGCACTGCCTCCAGCCTGAGGGCCCGTCCCTGCGTCCCCCATCTGCGGAGACCCACGGCCTGTGACCGCCGCCGCCAGCAGAGCAGGCAGAGCAGTGCGCACGGCTCCACAGTCCTCGCTCCGCCGCCCAGGCCTGGGGCCCGGCCTAGGTGCCAGGGGGACAGGCCCAGAGGTGACGAGCGAGCCCCACGCACAGGAGGCCTAGAGGACGGGGAACAGGCCAAGGGTGGCGGGGACGGAAGGGCTGAGGGGGACCCAGGATGGGAGGGAACGGGGGCAGGCAGAGCTCCACTCACATATTTGGCGAAAAAGGACTTCTGTTCCTGGGGGTTCTTGGCCTTCTGGGCCTGCTCCATCTCCAGGCGCTCGATGAAGGCAGCTGTCTCAGGACTGGGCGTGGCCAAGAAGGGGACAGGGTGAGGGGCTGGCGTCAGCCCACAAGGACACGGGCAGCAAAGGCAGCAGGACGGCTCAGCCTGACGCTGGGCTGCCCGTGCCCGTGCCCTGCACCAAGCACCCGCACCCTGGGGCACCCGCACCCTCAGGCACTGCACCCGGGGGCACCGCACCCTGGAGCAGTGCACCCTGGGGCACCTGCACCCTGAAGCATCAGCGCCCTGAAGCACCTGCACCCTGGGGCACCTGCACCCTGAAGCATTGGCACCCTGGGGCACCTACACCCTGGAGCACCCACACCCTGGGGCACCCGCACCCTGGAGCACCGCACCCTGGGGCACCCGCACCCTGGGGCACCGCACCCTGCACGCACCCTGCACGTCCTCACCCTGGGGCGGTGGCCGGAGGCTGCAGCTGCACTGAAGTGTTAAACAGCTCCAGGTCCACATCTTCCACTTCGTGGCCTCTACAGCCCCCGGGGTGCGTCACCACCGACACGCCCACCACGTTGCCAGCCACATCCACGTGCAGCGTCAGCTGGTCCGAGAGGTGCGACTCTACCAGGGAGCACTAGGGGGGAGGGAGGGGAGGGTCGCCACCAGCTCTTGCCCGCGCCAAGACCCCCGAGCCTCCAGCCCCCGCTCCCGGGGCCCAGAAGTATCTTTCAAAGCCCTTCGCGGTTCCCTCCACCCTTGGGCACAAGCCCAAGCGCAACAACTTCCCCACTAGGCCCTGTGCTGCCCCATCAAAGCGCCCGCCGCCTGGACTGTCCCCCTCCAGCCCAGGAGACCCTTGAGAGCAAGGCCAGGCCTGAGTCTCCCCTGTGCATAAAGGCTGGGGCACAAAGGTGGAAGCCAGGCCGGGCAGGTGGGACGAGTGAGGACGGTCCTCATCACTGACTCACCGCGGGGACAAAGGAGGACACGTAGCTGCCGGCTTCTGGGCCATCAGGGGCCCCAGGGCGCTGAGGGACCCGGACACGGTACAAGCCATTCAAGGCTGCCACATCCTGCAGGGCAGAGGAGGGTGGCAGTGAGAGGGACAGCGCATGGCCCCCGCCAGACCTAGGCTGCCACTGGGCCCGGGGGTCCCTTCTCCAGTCTCGCTCAGCCACCCCCCCAATCCCTGACCCAGGACTCGTCCTGGTGGGGTGGCCCTGCTGGGGGGGGCGAGGCCAGGAGCCACTGGGCGCACCTGGGGGAAAAGCCACGTCTAGGGTAGCAGAGCCCAGCCCAGCAATGGAGTGAGTCCCAAGGACACTTCCCAAATCTGGATCGAGCTGCACCTTGGCCCACCCCGTATCTGGACTCCCCAGTCGCAGGAGCAAGAATGTCTCTTGGGAGGCAGCTGTGCCCAAGAGTCACGTGGGTGCCAGACAGGAAGGCTGGCTGGGGTGCACCACCCCCACAGGGAGGGCACGGGCCTGCCCAGAACGAAAGCTGCCTTCCCAGCCTCCCTTGCAACTACATCTGGCCAAAGGGACAGAGTGGAGGCGGATGGCAGCAGCTTTTGTGAGCTTTCCCTAAAAGATGGCTGTTCCCCGCCCCCCCCACACCTTCTCTCCCTCTGGCCTGCTGCACCTCCCTGGCCCGTCTCCAGGGAGGACTGAGCCAGGTCTGGAAGGAGCCCAGCCCTCGAGGAGGCCACAGAGCAGGCTACGGCTGAATTAACATTCTTGCGTTAACCTTCAGTTCTTACAGGGATCGCTTTCTCCTCCCAAGCAAATCTCCTCCTGACTGACTGCAGAGCATCTCGGCTGAATCTGGGAAAGGTGACGGGGGGCTAACTACGTTAAACCTGGGGGACAAGGATGGACTGGGCAGAAGGAATGGCCCGGGCAAAGGCCCTGAAGTCGTGCTCCAAGCCACACGCCCCCCGGACCCCAGCCGCGCCAGCCCCAGGTCCCCTCCTCACCCGGAGCCGGCCCCGCTCCTCCTCGTTGAGCTGCCGCTGCGACAGGGACAAAGTGCCATCCTGCTGGTTCCAGAGGAGTGAACCCCGCTTCCGAAAGTGGGCACTGTCATCTGTGGGGAGTCGGGGCTTAGCGACCGCCCCACCACTGAACCCTTCAACCCTCGCAGTGACCAGGTTACTTCTCTCTCCTGAGCCCCCCCATTTCCCACCTGGAACATGGGGACCCCCCCCACCATGTCCCGCCCTCCTGTCTCACAGGGCAGCGCACAGCAGACATCTGAACACCACAGCTCCTGAGCCCTGCCTCTGCTTGCCGGGTGACCCAGGGACAGTCACCTGATCTCTCTGAGCCTCAGTTTTCCCAGCTACAAAATACAGGGGCTTCCAACCGTTGGGCCATGTGGGAACCCGTGGTCTGGGCAGATGCCAGGGACCGAGTCAGGAGGTGTGCAGAGGGTCCCAGCTTCGGTGTTACAAACAAGTGTCCCAGAGTTTGGGGCTTGAGACCTCCAGGCCGCACTGACACCCGTGCTCTGGGAATCTGAACGCCTGAATCAAAGGAGTTTAAGCTGGGCTGCAGAGCAGGTCCTGGCTCTACCATTCACTTACAAAGGGACCTTGTGCGGTGCCCCTCTGAGCCTCAGTTTCCCCTTCTGGAACGTGGGACTATCCCTAAGACCCACTGCGTTGCATGACTGCTGTGAGCACTTTTGAGTGAATGCACGCAGAACATGTAGCCACGAATGCAGGCCACAGCTGGCTGGTCTGAAGAGTCCGCTCTGAGGTTATAAATGCCGCACTGGCCTTTCTGAACCTAGGATCTGTCTTACAGGTGAGGGAGTATTCAAAGGTAGAGTTCTTACTCTCCCGTGCCCTCCCTGCCCCAACCTCCCCCAGAATAATCCAAACACACTCCTAGGGGCAAAGCTGTTAGTAAACGAATGGCGTGTCTCACACTGGGCGGCACCAGACTCATGTTCTTGACTTCACGGGGCAGCAGGTAAGCGCCCAGACAAGGAACATTGCCAGACTCACCGATCTCAAATGAGTGCTCCAGGAGCAGCCCCATGGTGCCACAGCCCTCACCCTCTCGACCTTCTGCCCCCGCCTGCAGGGGAGAGACAGGTGCCTGGGTGAGGACCAGCAGAGCCCTCAGCAAGGCAAGGCCCACAGACCCCGGGACAAGATGCAGGGTGGGGAGGGAACCTGATTTTCATACTCTTTTCTAAACACTGACCCTTATCCATGATTCCACCAGGAACCATCCCTTTCATGAAAATTCATGATCTGGACCGTCCCCAGAAAACTAGAGCCTACAAACAAGCGTAACCTTGCTTCGGAGGCAACTGTCTCCAGGTCACTTTCCCACCTAGCATCATAAACATTCGTGAGTTAAAGCATACCTGCGTTTCCATTCCAATCTAATACTCAAGTCGCCCCTTTTCACCTTAACAGACACAACAGCCACCATGCCTCTGAAATTCCGACCCTTATCAAGTACAGACAAGATTCCACGCGCTCCAGGGGTGCCTGGGTGGCTGTGGCACAGTGGATTAAGCCCTGGAGCTTCAGCTCGGGGCATGATCTAGCGGTTTGTGAGTTTCAGCCCCACATCAGGCTGGCGCTGATAACTGGCTTCAGATCTTCTGTCCTCCTCACTCTGCACCTCCCTTGCTCGTTGTCTCTCTCGAAATAAACTTAAAAAAAAAAAAAAGATTCCACGCCATCATTCCTCCATTCCTCTAAGTCCAAACGTGTCCTACCTCTGCGTACCCCACCCTACGCCCTTGTACCTATGCAGCCCTCACACCTTCGCAACCCCGTGTCCAGATTTTAATCCTGGACTCAAGATCCCGCCCTTCTCATGCATATTCAGGAGGCAGAACCTCCTGTTCAATCACTCCAGAGCCCATGTGCCGGTTTTGTTTTAGCCGCCCCTACGTCTAATTCGCCAAGATTCCCCTCGAGCCACACCCCCTCATGCATATTTAAGACTACGGCTCTCTAGCGTTCCGACGTTAGCCTGAAGTTCTCGCTCCAACGGCGCATCCTCGTTTTCACACCACCGAAGGTCCAGGGACCAAGATCCCATCCGAGCCTCGCCCCCTCATGCATGTTCAAGAGCTACAGCCTTCCTAACTACACTCTCACTTTCACCTCTTTCTCTCTCTTGGCCCTGCAATGCCTCGTTCTCATCTTACCCGAGCCCCAGGATTTCCGTCAGCCCCGCTCCCCGTGCAGAGCCATTGAGCACTCACCCCGCGCAGAGCGGTCCCGGACCGGCAGCCACTGCCCCGCGCCCGACTGGGGGCTGCTGCCGCCATCAGCAAGAGCAGGAGCAGCCGAGTAGCCACAGCGCCGGCCGCCGCCATTATCACCCCTTCCCACCAGGCCGGGGGCGGGAGTGAGCCTGGAGCCTCCGAGCACACCGCCCATGCGCCTGCGCCAGTTTCTTGCGCCGGCGCACTAGCGCCCGCCACGGGCTTCTGACGTCATCGGTGGCCGCCGCAACGCCCAGATCTCTAGGCCACGCCCCCTATAATGACGTCACCAACGGTCGTCTCTTTGGTGACGTTGAAGGCGGGTCCGCCGCGTTGTGACGCGATAGAGTCCGCGGCTCCACGAATCCGTTTTCTCCTCAGGCACCTCCCTTTGCTCTTCCCATGGGGCGGGGCGTTGCGATGATGAGGGGGCACGAGACTAAGCCGGCCCGGGGTAGAGCAGGTGGGATGACAGGTGAGACGCAAAGCCGGGCCTGGCAGGGTTGGATCCGGTGAGGGTCCCCGTGAGGGATGGGGCCGGCGATGCGAAGACTGGTAGCTCCGACTCCCCTACCCTCAGAGCGGGGCTTTCCTGGCCCCTACCAGATGCGAGGCCCAGGCCTAGCCTCCTGGACTAGACCTCTGAACTTCACCCCTCTAGAATGCCCCCTGGTTCCAGCCTTTCCCACGGGCCGGCCCGGACGGCTCCAGCGCCACCTCTTGAGCGGCGAGTTCGACCAGCTGCGAGACTTTCCCATCTTTGAGAGCAACTTTGTGCAGGTGTGGAGCCCCCGAGCCCCCTGACACGGAGCCTGGGCTGGAGCCTTGACCTCCCGACTTCAAGGGCTCCTGCTCTGCCTACTTCCGACCAGGCTCCCGTAACGTTTTATCTTCTGGAATTCCGGACCACTCCCACCCCCCATACCTCTAGACCTTTAGCTTCTTTATGAACCCAGGCTTCTGATTCCCTTGGTTCAGTTTCCCTGACTTCACACTCGGTGACTCTTGACCTCTGCCCCAGGACTTGGTGTTTAATACACTTGGTTCCTGATCCTTAACCCCACCAACCCTGCCTTCCATCTGTCCGGCTTCTAACCTCTAACCCCTGGCCCTAGGTGACCCGGTTAGGAGAAATCGCCAACAAGGTCACCATGGGGGTGGCAGCCTCCAGTCCAGCCCTGGAGCTCCCAGACCTGTTGCTGCTGGCCGGCCCCGCCGAGGATAACGGACGCCTGCAGCTCCTTGGGTGACTGTCCCCACCCCAGCCTGGCCCCCTCCCTTCCCCAGCTCTGGGCGTCCTGGGCCCCCTGCGGCACCTGCCGTCACACAGACGACTCCCAGGGCGGGGAGTCCTCTGTGGGCGGCCATATATCCAGGAGAACAAGGGCAGGGCCACCCACAGGGGCTGGAAATCAGAGATAGAGGGACATGAGGGGGACAGTCCACAGCCCTACCCTGGCAAGGATCAGAAGAATGACCGTTTATGCCATACCTACCGCATGCCAGGTGCCCCCTAGGCCAGGCACATAATCTCATCTCTGACCTACTCTTATACTCTTAGCCCCATCCTTTGAAAAGAGAAACTGAGGCTCCGAGACCCACAGTGGGTTAGGGGTTGGTTGGGACTGGAATCTCAGGGCTCTTCATCATTACTGACTTCATGATTCTGTTTCTTTTCATGTTTATTTATTTATTTGAGAGAGAGAGAGAGAACAGCCAGGAGAGGGGCAGAGAGAGAGAGAATCCCAAGCAGGCTCTGCACTGTCAGAGATGCAGACACGGGGCTCGATCTAACACATCGTGAGATCATGACCTGAGCCGAAATCAAGACTGTGACACTTAAGCAACTGAGCCCCTCAAGGTCCCCACTGACCTCATGGTGCTTGGGCTTCGGTGCCACACAAAACACCACCCCTTCGGGTCTTTTTTTTTTTTTTTCATTGAACAAGTAATGCAACCACACCCCAAAGTACAAAACATACAGAGCACAAAATAACACCTCGCTCCCTTCCTCCGCCCCTCCCTCCAACTCTAGCTGCAAATAACAAAACTTTCCCATATGTGTAGTACCCTTACAAAAACTGTGTGCTAATGGCTTTCACTTTTTTTTTTTTAACAATTTTTCTTTACATTTATTTTTTTTGAGAGACAGAGTGGGAGTGGGAAAGGGGGAGAGAAAGAGGGAGACACAGAATCGGAAGCAGGCTCCAGGCTCTGAGTTGTCAGCACAGAGCCCGACGCAGGGCTCGAACCCACGAACCATGAGGTCATGACATGAGCCGAAGTCAGATGCTTAATTGACTGAGCCACCCAGATCCCCCTGGCTTTCACTTTTTTGACCACAGTTAACGGAAAAAAAGAAAGGGAGGGGGAGAGGGAAGGAAGAGAGAGAGGAAGGACTCACAGTCACACACACACACACAGGGGTCCACATTGTCTGCAATTCTGATATCTAAAAAAAAAAAATTGCAGCCACTTGGTGGCAGAATCGGATTCTGACCTACACCACGTTGAGGCTCCCTACAGCCTTTCTTTACCCCCCTGCCCGCCCCTGCCCCTGCCCGGAGACGTTGAGAACACTTCACAGAGCAGTATGCTGACGCCTTACGGTTCACTGGGGCACATTCTCGCTCCTTCTCAGTGCTGACTGCCTCCCACCAGTTGACCTCACCGCTCGCCAAGGCGTGACCTACAGTGGGAGGAGCACTGAGGACGGTGCCGAGAGGTGCTTGGACCCCCATAATCTCCTTCAACATCCCCCAAAGTAAACATACCATCAAGCTAAAAACCACTGAACTTGCTCTGAGAATGAAGTATCAAGCCTCAGTCAGCCCCTATAATTCCTCACTTCTGACCTGTCGTGGGCCAGTCCTGACAATTATATGGTGCGTGTTCACCCGTCCTTTATTTTATTTATTTTTAAATTTTTTGTTTATTTTTGAGAGACAGAGTGCGAACGGGGGAGGGGCAGGGAGAGAGGGAGACACAGAATCCGAAGCAGGCTCCAGGCTCCGAGCTGTCAGCACAGAGCCCGACGCGGGGCTCCAATTCACCAACCGTGAGATCATGACCTGAGCCGGAGTCGGATGCTTAACCGAGGGAACCCCCCAGGCGCCCCCACCTTCCTTTAAAAACAGCCACAGGCACATGCTACATGCCACTTTTGCAGGCTGCGCCCTCCCCCATCAGCCCCACATCAATATTCATTATTTCATGTCAGCGGAAGCACAACCAGCAAGCCCTTTTCTGGACACACAAGGGTGAATACTCTGCCCCTTTACACACCGCTTGCATCTGGTGCTGTTACCGTGTGGCAGGGAACGTCCTCGACGATTGCCTGCCTTCCTGCCTGGGTTCAAATACTGGCTCACCTCTTCATCACTGGCTTTGGCCAAGTGCCCTACCTGTCTGTGCCTCAGTTTCCCCATCTGGAACACGGGGATAAGGAGAGCCCACCTTGCAGGGCTGTCAGAGGGTATGCTGAGTACAGGACTGTGAGGTGCTTGGGACAGCACCTCGCCCAGGGGGAGCGTTCTGTGAATGTAAACTGTTATCCGGCCACTTGGGGAAGGTCACACAGATGGAGCCGCCACTGATGGACGCTGATGCTGTGGCTGATGTCTGGTGATTACAGCCAGTGTGCTTGGCAGAGGGCATCCAGGCACACGGGTGTGAGGGTGTCTGTCAGATCAGTTCCTAGAGGTAGTATTGCTGGGGGGGAGGGGGGGGAATGTGGCTACCAGTGTGGTGCTTAAGAACACGGAGAGGACTTGGGTTCAAATCCCTACTGTATGACCTGGGCCAAATTATCCACTTCTCAACAAACATCCATTGAGCACCTACCACAGATGTGAGCTCATGGGGAGACGGGGGGTGGGGGGGGGGAGAGTGGGGCAGCCGTGAACAAAATGGGATCAAAGTCTTTGCCTTTCAAGCCCTCCTCCTACCAGGACGGGAGACAGAATTGGTGGAGCTTGGTCTGTGCAGACATACCAGAGGGGTAGGGATAGGGATGTCTGCAAGGGTGGACATGGCCGCACAGAAGCCTCAGGTTGTAAATAGAACTTCTCCCTGAGAAGGTGCTTCTTGAGAAAGACATGAGAGAGATTAAGGGACCAAGCCATCGGGTGGCTGGGGGGGAAGATTCCAGGCTGTGGGCCTGAGGTGGGAGCAAGGCTGGTTTATGGAAAAGTGGTGAAGCCACTGTTGCTGGGGCTGAGTGAGTGAGGGGAGTGAGCAGAGAGGGAACAGAGGCGACAGGGCAGATCTTGCAGGACCTAGCGGTCAAGGTGAGGACTTGGCTTTTTCCGCGAAGCCACGCGAGGGACGTGACATTCAGGTGCTAATCGGCGCCCTCTGGCGGCCGTGTGGGAACAGAGCGGCTGAGCCCGCAGCCCAGGCCGGAGATGGGTGGTGGCGGACCCGCTGGTGGCGGAAGGACTTAGAAGGGGTCGGATCAGGGATGCATTTGAACGGTGGAGCCGTCAGGATTTGGTGGCAGGATTGGATGAGAGAGAGAAAGTTGGGCGAGGGGGCAACTCCATGATTTCTGACCGAGCAAGTGGGAGGATGTAGTTAAGGTGGGGAAGACGAAGAGGAGCAGTTTGGGGTTGGGGAGAAGATCAGGAATTTGGTTGTTGGACCTGTTATGTGTCGATGTCCTTCTGAGATTCAACGGGAAGTTTCAAGAAAGCAGCTATGTATTAGAAGGACCAGCGGGAGACGCGAAGGTGCTTTGGGATGGATAAAAGTCAAGAGGCAGTGAAAAAGGCCTCTTTCTGGAGAGAGAGGGGCATTGAGGTGGGTGGCCCGGACCCTGTAGGTGCCCAGGCCCACAAGGCTGTCGAGCCACGGAGGGTCAGAACCTGAGGTCGCCCCTTCCGCCCCCCCAGGCTGTTCCCCTTGCAGTTCGTCCAACTCTTTATCCACGACGAAAGCCGCTGGCAACTCAAGGTCAAGTTCCGCACAGGCCGAGCCTTCTACCTGCAGCTGCGGGCCCCGCCCGAGACCCGAGACCGCGAGTTCGGCCAGTGGGTGCGGCTGCTCTACCGCCTGCGCTTCCATTCGGCCCAGGGAGCCGTGCCCTTCACGCAGGAGTACCCGACGCCGGAGGACGGGGAGGAAGACCACGAGGAGGATGGGCTGATAGAGCAGGAGGAGGTGCGTGCGGGGCAGGGCGGGGGCTGGACTCCTGGGTCCCCGGGAGGAGGCAGCTGGGAATCTAGACTAGTCTGAGAGGCCCGGGCTGGGGACCGAGGTTCCGAGGGTGAGGCCTGGATGCCTGTGGTGAGAGTTGCAGGAAGGCCTGGCCTCCTGAGTCCTGAAAGGGTAAGAAATCTGTGCGCAGAGAGCAGGGGATCTCAAGGCAGGGCAGGGCCCTGGGCCCGCGAGCCATGTGGCTCCTAATTGGGCGCCCCCAGCCCCCCGGCCGTCTCCCCTTGACCTGCTGCGCGGATTATGGGGACGGGACACCTGGGTCCTGAAGGCTGGGGCAGGCCAGACTGGATGCCCAATTCCATACAAGGCCAGGGGAAGGGGAAGGGCCCCGTCCTTGAAGGTGGGGACATTGAACCCCGTGGGGCCTCTTCCTCTGGAGACACCCCACTCCCCCCACCTTCCAGGTAGGTACAGAGCCCCCCGCCACACCCCCAACACTGCCAATCAAGGCCTCTGAGACACTCTCTCTCTCATACCCAGCTCCAAGCCATGGAAGGCAGACTTGACCCACAGACCTCTGAACTCTGGGGACTCTGAGTCCCTCCACTATGCTTTGAGGTCACCGTAGGACCAGAGATCAAAGAAACCTACCTCGGGGCCAGAAAGATGAATTATTAAAGTTAATAAAGATCGGCCACTTAAGAACCAACAACCAGGTCACGAGCAGTGTTGCCACCGTCACCAATCCAACATGGCTGCCTCGCCAAAGTCGCTTTTCCAGTATGGCTGCCTCAGCCTGGTGCTCGGCTCGCATGCATGGCTCCTGGGGCCAGCACGAGACTAGTGCCCACCATTCCATCATGGCCACCTCTCCAGGGCAGCCTGCGCCCCCACACCCCCAGCAGATAGTCTGAGAGGGCTGTCTCCACGGGGTCCCGTGACTTGTAATTACAACATGGTAGCACCCTAAAGTACCTGCTCCAAGATGGCAGCCACATTGAGGCCATTCCAACCTGGTGTTCCCATCACCCACCCCCAGGTGGCTCAGAGTCAAGGACAGACACGTGCAGGTTGTAGACAAGACTATTATTTTCTCAGTGGTAATTCTGGGAAGGGAAATGGTGTTCTGGGAGGTCCAGGTGAGCCCCAGCAGCCAATAACCCTGGCAGGTGGAAGAGACCATCTCACTGTGGCACTGTGGGAAAATGAGAAGAGTGGGTGAGGGCTGGGCTTCCCGAAGGCACGCACCCACCCCCGGGCCCCCTTGCCTGTTGGACTGGCTTGGCCACCAGGGGGAGTGCGTTTAGCCTTCATGCCCAGCTCCGGGGCCCGCATCTGCATGGGGCGAACCCGGGGCCTGGAGCCTGGGATTACTAATTACTATAGCTGTGAACCCCCAGCTGGAATGTGCTAAGCAGCTGCCGGTGACAAGCTGTCACGGAAATCCTAAAGCAGGGATATTGCCAAGCCGACTCAATAATTAATAAAGAGGCCAGCAAAACATCAGAAACTGGGTCAGTCTGGAGGAGCAATGCTTCAGAATGACAGCCAGCAAGGTCCTTCGGGCTGGTCTCGCTGGGCCCTTGTTAAGGGTCTGCAGCCACTCCTGTCTGCTGGGCTGTCACCAGGGCCAGAGGGAGTCACAGCTGGGGAGGGACCCTGAGAACCTGTATTAACAGCAGCCACATCTGAGGGACTTGGGTAGCAGCCTCTCCAGGAAGCCTTGCCTGGCAGATGTTTCATGGGCTGGAGCCCAAAGGAGAAGAGGCAAGGAAGAGCGTTGTAGGTAGAGCGAACGGCATGTGCAAACTCCCAGGAACTAGAGAAAGTATGGCCAGTTTGTCTAACTGCCAACAGCTTGGTGTGGCCAGAACAGTACTGAGCACAGTACCCTGTGCTCCCTTCTGTCCAGCACTTTTGCCCTGCATCGTCCTTGTTGGGGTCCGAATCCGGCTCCCCAATCACAGCCCTCGGGCCCAGGGCTGACTCCGCTCTGGTCTCAGCATGGCCCAGCGCGGGGCGTGTGACAGCGCGAATGAGGGCCCGCCAGGCAGGGTGCTCACCGCGGACCTCCAGCTTGCACTCGGCCAGGTCCTCCCCCAGCTCGTTGACAGCCCTGCAGGAGTAAGTCCCTGCGTCGAAGGGGGACGGGCGGCGGATGTTCAGCGTCAGGACCCCCTGGTGGTTGGTCATCAGGAATTTGGGATCTTCGCGGATTTCCATCTTATTCTTCATCCAGACCACCTTCGGCTGTGGAGGGGAGCAGGGGGAGGGGCCGGCTTAGGGAGGGTCCCTGGGTGATGGCAATGGGTTTCGGCAGGCAGATCTGGATTCTCATCTTGGCTGTGCCACCTCCTAATTCTGACTGGATGACCTTGAACTAGTCATTTCTCCTCTGTGACCCTCAGTCTCCTCTTCTGCGGGAGGCAGAGCTCCCCACGGGACCCTACACGATTTGGCCCCATTACTCTTCTGCCCTCACCTCCATCCTGTCCCTCCCCCTGCTCCATTCACTCTGGCCTCCTGGCTGTTCCCTAAACAGACCAGACAGGCCACCTCAGGACCTTGGCACTGGCTGTTCCCTCTTCCAGTACCGCTCTTCCCTCCTCTTCCACCCAATCAGCGCCTGCTAACCTCTCAGGTCTCAGCTCCCACGTCACTTCCAGCCCCGAGGCTGCAGCAGGAAGGCCTGCGTTCCACTCCTGCACTTCTCTCCCACGCCTGCCACCCTAGTCGTTTGCATGACTTTGGATTTGTGTCGGTCTCCCCCCAACACCCAGGAGTTTCTTGTCCAATCTCCCCAGCACGCAGCCTCTGAAAATGTGTGTTGAAAGAATAAACAGACTGAATGGGTGAATGGTGTAAATAAGCAAATGGAGTGAATAAAGGAACCGAGTAAATGAATGGACTGAGTGAATGAGCAGAATGAATGAATGAGTGGACTTAGCGAATAAAGTGGGGAGATGGAGAAGGTGAACTAATGAATCCATCATATGCCTACGGGGGCTGAAGCTAAAAACATGGAGCGAGACCACAAGCTGGCAGACTTCATCTGTAAAGGGCCAGGCCGTCAAGACGTGGGGCTCCGAGGGACCGTGGTCTCCGTGGCCACAGACAGTACTGAAACGAGGGCACGGCTGTGTTCCAATGACACTGTATTTAGAGAAACGTGGCAAGTGGAGCTGGCCCTCATGCCATCGTTTGCCAGCGCCGGTCTAGGTGAATCCCTAGAGCTTAAGGTTGTGAGTGTCCACACTCCAACAGCAGTTCAGAAACTGGACAGGGCAGGAAGATGGCAAGGAGCCCCAGGGTTCAGACTTCCCCCCAACTCCCACCAGAGTTTTCTGTTTCCAAGGGAAGCTAGAGGGTAATGATATGAGACGTGGGCTCTGATCAAAGGGGAGAGAGACAGGAAGTGGGTTAAAAGTGAGTATATCCCCACATGCACCCCAATGTTTATAGCTATCAACAACAGCCAAATTATTGGGAGAGCCCAAATGTCCACTGACAAATGGATAAAGATGTGGTATATATACAGTGGAATATTACTCAGCGATCAAAAAGAATGAAATCTTGCCATCTGCAACAACGTGGATGGAACTAGAATGTAATGCTAAGTGAAATAAGACAAATTATTTTGAGAAAGACAAACACTATGTGATTTCACTCATATGTGGGATTTCAGAAACAAAACAGATGAACATAGGGGAAGGGCAGGAAAATAAGATAAAAATGGGGGAGGGGGCAAACCATAAGAGGCTCAAATACAGAGAACAAACAGGGTTGCCGGAAGCGAGGTGGGGCGGATGGGCTAGATGGGTGATGGGTACTAAGGAGGGCACCTGTTGGGATGAGCACTGGGTGTTGTATGTAAGTGATGAATCACTAAGTTCTGAAATCATTATTACACTCTATGTTAACTAACTTGGATTTAAATAAAATTTAAAAATAAAACAGGGCCCCTGGGTGGCTCCGTCAGTTCAGCATTCGACACCTCATTTCAGATCAGGTTGTGATCTCTCAGTTTGTGAGTTCGAGTTCCGCGCTGATGGTGCGGAGGCTGCTTGGGGTTCTCTCCCTCTCCCTTGCTCTCTCCAAAAATAAATTTAAAATGTTAAATAATAAAATAAAAAAGAAAGAAACACTAAAAACTAACAGCATAAAAAAAAAGTAAGCATATCCCATGAACAGAGGAGAGAGAAAGGAGCTGCTGTGGCTACACCTGGGTGAAAATGTCCCTCTAGGGTCTCACACACACGCGCACGTGCACACACACACAAGCACACGCACCTTGGGGTGGCCTCTGACCGCACAGTTGAGAGCCGCAGAGTAACCAGCCACGACCACGCGGTCTGGAAGAGGCGTCAGGAACTTGGGAGGTGTGCGGAAGTCATGCTCCTTGTACTCAAACGGTTTGAAGGTGATACCTGGGGGGTGGGAGGGGAACCTGTGAGGCGACCGATCTAGACTGTCACCCGGTGCCACCAGCTTTGGGTCTGGCAGTGGGGGAGGAGGAGTCAGGGTAGAAGCCCAGCCGAGAGAGGAGACGGGGACCCCATGGCGGGAGGTGGCAGTACCCGTCTTGAGGATCCGGGCCGTATTCTTGGAGACGCCAGGCGAGTCGCTGAGCCCACAGATGTTCTCGCTGAAAACGCGGAAGTAGTATTCGTTGCCCACAATGAGGTCAGACACGGTGCAGGAAGTGTGCCTGCTGTGTTCATAGACGGTGAACCACTCCTAAGGGGGGGCAGGGAAGGACCGGGAGTCGGACCCAGGGACCCAGGGACACACGAAGGGCCGGGGGGGGGCGGGGGGGGGCAGTGAGGAAAGCGCATTTAAGGGTGTGTCCCGCTCAGATAACAGGCCATTCCCAGGAGGGTTGTTCACAAGGGCCCAAGGGTCCATCAGCGGATGAATGCGGAAGCAAAATGTGGTAGATGCGAACCATGGACTGTTACTCAGCCACAAAAAGGAGCGGAGCACGGATACACACGCTACGACTGTGTGTGAACCTGGAAAACGTTATGCCGCATCAAAGAAGCCATACACAAAAGGCCACATGTTAAATGATCGCATCTATAGGAAACGTCCAGGATGGGCAGATCCGTTAAAACAAGAAGTGGATTGATTAGTGGCTTCCTGGGGCTAGGTGACATGGTTTGGGGCTGTGTGCTTAATGGGGGCTAGGTTTCCCCGGGGAACTATCTGGGAACTCGACGTGATGGTTACTCCACACTGGGAATGTATTCAACGCTTTAAAACGGGTAATGCTGGGGCACCTGTGTGACTCAGTCGATTAAGCCTTGGACTTCCGCTTAAGTCATAATCTCAGGGCTCGTGGGTTCGAGCCCTGGGTCCCTATGGAAACAGCTCAGAGCCTGGAGTCTGCTTCGGATTCTGTGTCTCCCTCTCTCGCCCCTCCACTGCTCATGCTTTTTCTTTTTTAAATTAAAAATTTTTTTTATTATTTATTATTGAGACAGAGAGAAACAGAACACGAGTGGGGGAGGGTCAGAGAGGGAGGGAGACACAGAATCCGAAGCAGGCTCCAGGCTCAGAGCTGTCAGCACAGAGCCCGATGTGAGGCTCGAACTCACGAACCATGAGATCATCACCTGAGCCAAAGTCAGACGCTTAACCGACTGAGCCACCCAGGCACCCCTGCTGGGGAGGGGAGGGGAGGGGAGGGACACCCATCCTGGTATTTCAGCC